TCCTCATGTTGTGAAACTGGGTTCCTCATGCCCATGCTGGATCTCATCCTCATTCTTAGGCTCATAGTATGCCATGCTGCCAGCATTGGTGAATCCACATCCTATCCCATAGGTTCCATTGGACCAATCCTGCTCATCCCCAATGCTCTCACCCAATGGCTCTTCAGGCCTATAGTCCATATCCCCCCCACCTGGGGAATCTCTCCAAAGAACCTGGGAACCCATGGAATGATCCAACCATAGATACACCAATGATCTGATGATGCAGGGTGATCACCATCATGCCCCAAACTCATAAAGAATCTCTTCTTCATCCCATCATTCTTGTCCACATACACATACATAAAGTCATGCTGTGACAATCCCAGCATACCCTCAATGATCACCCATACATTGCCCAGCACATGGCTTCTCATGATACCACCCAAGCTCAACAGCTCATTGGTCATCTCCTCTGCTGAGTGCACCATGGCTCAATACCTCACCAATACCCACCCAAACTAATAGCTTGTGCCAAAATATGTCCATGAATCATGGAACCAATGGTGTGCTCAGCAGGTTCTGATGTCCCCATCATCCCTTTCATTCCAATTCTTCCAAATACTAATTCCCTTTCATTCCAATTCTTCCAAATACTAATTCCCTTTCATTCCATTTCTTCCAAATACTAATTCCCTTTCATCTCAACTCTTCCAAATACTAATTCCCTTTCATTCCAATTCTTCCAAATTAAATTCCCTTTCATTCCACCATTTGTCCAATTTTCCTATGCATGCTCCAGTCTCATCTCCTCCTCCTCCTCCATATTGGAAGGCCCATCTCCCTATACTCATTGGCAATGTGCCAATCTCTCTCAGATTGGGTGTCATAGGCAATCAAATCATACCAATCCTCAACAGGCCACCAATCTGTCCATCCAGAATAGGCATCCACCCTCACCACATAGAGCCTCCATTGCCCATTCCTCCACCAAGCCCTAATATGCTTTGATCCAGTTGGCATGGCTCTGATCTCTCAGATCTCTCATCAAATTTGTGCCAATAAGCTCTCATGGATCTCATGATGAAAGGGAATTAGTATTTGGGCTCTCA